CTTTTTGTACTTTGTGATTTGTAACTTAGAGGATTCTAGAATTTCATGATGCACAGAGTCTTGGGTCTCCTCCAAACCCACCCTGTTCATCATCCATCCAAACACGAATCTATCCATCTCTCACTCTACCTAGCTCTCCTCCCTCTTTAATCCATCCCTATCACCATCCATCCATCCAGTTCATCATCTATTAAATAATGGGTTTGCCAGGTACCTCCTGTGGCACTGGAGTACAATAATGAACAGGATGGGGGAGTGCCTGCTCATGAAGCTCACACATTAGGAAAAGGAGGCTGGCGTCAAATGCGATATACAAGTAAGATGGCTCCTGATTGCAGCAACTGCCAGAAAGACCCCTAAGCAGATGACACCTAATAGAAGCTGGCAGAGACTGGGAACTGGATTCTTCAAATAGGGCAGGAGAGCCTTCTCAAAGGAGGTAACATATGACCTGAGAGTCACATACTCATCACCAGCAACTCAGAGTACAAATGCAAAGGCCCCAAGACAAAAACAACATGGTTTATTTACAGAAAAGGAAGAGATTGGGAGGAGGAAAAGGATAAACTACTGCCCACATACCCAACCATCAGAACCAGGACGGTAGTATGATGAGAGAAGATGGCGAGATACACAAAGGTCGTGTCAATGACAGCTCTCTATGGAAAGAAAGTAGGACCCAGGGAAGCTAAATGAATAGCCTGAAGAAACGCAGCTACTAACTGCTACAGCTGGCTCCAAAAGCTAATTCTCTTCTACCCTCAAATCTTGAGTTTTCTGCACTATATTGACCCACTTGCCTCAAGCCATGAGAACATTCTGCATTAATGTTTCTGGGGCTTAAAAGCCTTTAACGCACTCTCACAGCAAGCAAATCCCAACTAGGCAGGAAAGTACGGCTAAATGATTCCGGTGACTTTGAATGCATACCTGAGTTCTAATCCCTCTCCTCTTCATTCTCTTCCTTGTCTTTTTCCTCCTTCCAACAAGTTTTCAGTGCTGGGGATGTCTCTCTGCATGCTGTGAATATGTTTTATTACCATTAGTTAAGAAAGAAGTTGATTTGGCCAATAGCCAGGCAGAATAGAGCCAGGTGGGAAATTCAAGCAGAGATACAGGGAGAAAGAAGGTGGGGTCTGACAAATGGGGAAGATGCTTAAGACCAAACTAGACTCCCTTAATATAGGTGACTGGGACAATATATGAGGCCACTGGCAGTGGGTCCAAGATCTAACACTAATGCACCAACTGACTTAGTGGAGCCCGTTCAATATGGAGAGATACCTTGTCCAGACTAGACATAGGGATGTGGAGGTGGAGAGGTGCTTTGGTCCTGCCTCAAGGAAATGATGGGACAGACTTAGTAAACTTCCAAGGGGAGGGCTTACTCTCTCTGAAGAGCAGATGGGAGGTAGGGGGAAGTAGGGGGGAGCCGGAGGAGCAGAGGGAGGGGGAACTGGCATCAGAATGTAAAAAATAAATTAATAAAATAAAAAGGTGGGGTCCAAGAAACACCATCTAGCTGCCAAGAAAAAAGATGTCCAGACATCACTGGTAAGTCACAGGCCTTGTGTCGATAAACAGATTAATAGAAATGGACTAATTTAAGTTGTAAGAGCTAGTTAAAAATAAGCCTGTTAATAATAGTTAATAATAGCTAATAGGCTAAACAATTTGTAATTAATATTAAGCCTCCTAGTGCTTATTTTAAAAGTGACTGTGGGACCAGGCCAGACGAGAAAACTCCAACTACATTTCACAGTCCCTGAGTGATGGAAGACTCACCTGGCAAGAGTCCAGTGTCCCAGTAGTTTATGAGACACAGACTAAGAGAATGCTTAGAAACCCAGATTCTAATCTTGTCCTACAACCTACCAGCCGTGCAACTCTGAGCAAGATACTTGCCCTCTCCTTTCCTCGGTTCCCTCATTTCTAAAAGCAGGATAATACTTTCCTCCTAAGGTAGTTGTCAACATGAAGGAAACTAATATATGTGAAGTATTTGACCGATGTCTGGCACATAATCCTAAGACACACCCACTTTCCTCCTGCCCCATAGCCAGACTCTAGTCACCTGCACCATCAGAAATTAAAGGTGTGAATCAGACCACTTCTGGGGAAGGCAGCTTCACAGTGTCCGGGTGACAAGCAAAGGTCAAATAGGACAGTAACATACCATCAAGTAAGAATTGTAAACATGGAGCCTGGAGACTGAGTGTTCTTCCATAGAACCTGGGTTTAATTCTGGTACCCATATGACAACTGAATAGCCATCTGTTACTCCAGATCCAAGAGGGATCTGATACTTACACTTCTGGCCTCCATGGACATTACATGCATGTAGTACACAGATATGCACAGGCAAAACAACCATACACACAAAACAAAACAGAGATTTGTTTTAAAATAATGAAAGCAAACCAGGAGGGGACCAGTGAGAGGGAGGAAGGAGGACTGGGGTGGATAATAGGGGTGGAGGATATGAATATAAGCAAACTATAATGATATGTATGAATGAAGATGTCATCATGAAACCCATTCTTCATATGAAAGCTAAATTTTTAACTAAAAACTTGTGAGAATAACTGAATGAAATAATGGACATGAAGCACCTGGCATGCTGGGCTGGCTCATGAAAAGCTGTTATTTTTATTGAGGTGTTTATTTTTAGCAGCCATGGTTGTAACTGTAGAAGCTACTTGTAGGCTTTCCTTCTCCATATCAGGCTGTGAAAGATGGCAAATTTGTGAGAAGCACTCATCACTGGGACCCAAGAAGCTATTACAGAAATAAGTTTTCAAAGCCAGCATCAGGAAGACAGTCCCTCAATGATCTTCTACCAAAAGTCCAGAAGCTATCTATCTACCAGTCCCCAGTCAACTGCCTGCCTCCTGGGGACAAGTCACCCTAGAGTGGGCATACTCCTTTCCCCACACTGGGCTTCCCCAGCCACATCCTAGTCCTTTGGATAGTGTACTATTGTATCTGGTTCCCATAGTCCCATCACATGGCGATGCTTCTGAAACTTAGATCACATGACTCCAGCTAAAACTCTTCAAGGCTTAAAATCAAGACCCATCTTCCTGGATCCCAAACCTGACTCTATCACCACCACCACCAGGGCTTTGGAGCCAGTCTGTAGATTCCCCTAGCCATACACACCTTGCAGCACCTGTTCCTTACTCTTGCTCTGCTCTGGTCATGAGACACTACTTCCACCTCATCAAATGCACACATTCCCAGGAGGCAGGACCTACGACCTTGGCATTACAGTAGTTCCATCTTCCTAAGGCAGATCCCCTTCTCACTGGCCAGGTAACTCCCGCTGTAGGTGTCAGTCCAGCCTTACAAAAACCTCCTGAACATCCCCTCCCTTGGCCTTTGTCAATCTGCTTTCCTTTGTTTCAAACAGTATAGAAATCCAGGTTGCCCTGGGACTCACCATATAGCCCCATGCTAACCTGGCACTAATGGAAACCCTGGCTGGGTTGGCACTGTAGACATGAACCACCACACCCAGCTCCAGTCTTTCCTATCAGACTTTCTTAAAGTGTTCACAGTGCTCACAGAAGATGCTACACACTTAATTACTAACTCCTCCCTGAAGTGACTAATTTTGACCCAACACCCACACTGTAAATTCCAAGAAGACACATATCTTGTCTGTCCTGTTCTGACCATATTTCCAGGGCCATGACTGTGCCTGGTGGGAAGCATGTATTTGACAAATAAATATGCCCTGCAGGGATTAAAAATGAAAGCCAAATCACACTTCTTATTTCCAGAGATTTGGAGACCAAACAGAAGGCTGGGGCTGTACTGGGGGTGTTTGCAGAATGAAGGGCAATGCCTCTTCACTCACTCATAAGCCAGTCAATTCATAAGACATTTACTCTACAAATAACTTGCTTTCCTGGTTCCAGTCTGGGGGACAGAAGAAATGCAGTCATAAAGAAATTTAAATGGAGGAACTGGGCAGGAATTAAATATGACCAAGATGCATTGCATGAAACTGTCAAAGACTAAATAAAAACATTCTTTAAAAAAGAAAAGAAATTTAAACACACACAAAAATTTAACCCCAAAACCCACTCAAGCACTGACTGGCTACCTCAGTTCAGCCTGTATATGAGCTAAGGGGTGGCTAGACACGCTGTTTCAACTTCTCCTGTTCCCATGCTGGTCACTAAGAGCCATAATATCTGTACATTAACATCAGAGGCAATAGCCAAGACCAGGGGTGTGGTGCATCCCCACACCTGTCTTAATCTCTTTTACCGGAAGGGAAAGTGACCTCACATTCCTGAAAGTACACCACACCATTGTGTGAGTGGGCATACTGTAGGTCACCCCGTGAGCCCTTCCCAGACTCATCGTTTCCAAGGAAAACCATTCCCCACACCCCTTCTACAACCTGAGCCAAACTAGCAGGCAGGATTAGTAATAAGACCGAGCAAAAACTCTGGGGGCCCCGTGGGCTCCATTATTCTACATGTCCTACTAGAGAAGTGCTACCCCAGGGACAGCTGCTGCAGATCGCCGCCTTGGATGCTGCCAAGAAACCTGTCCCCCTGAGGATACCCGGGCCGTGCAGTGCAGCTCCAGGTCCAGGGAGAGCCACCCCACCCATCTGCCAGAGAGACAAAGATCACCAGAAACAAAGGACACACACACACACACACACACACACACACACACACACGAACTCACAAAGTCAAAAGGAAATACCAACACTTGGTGAAATTTCAAAACAAACAGCCAGCTTGGTATATCTTTAAATAGATTGTGAAACCATCCTAGAGGGACAACGATTATGTGATCTTGACAGGCGCGATCTGGGCTCCGAACCCACGCTGCCTCCGCCCTCCTCCCACCCACGCTGCAGTTGCCAGTCGCATTTCCCAGCCTCC